CCTGGCATCGCTACTAGGAGCAAGGACGCTACTAGGGGCTCCTGGCCGTATTACTAGGAGCAAGTAGCTAGTTACTAGTAACAAGAAGCTACTAGTAGCGATGCACTTGTTACTAGTATTTGATGGGCCTCGTGATTCCACTTCGGATTGTGTCTTTAAGGGCCACTAGCAGTCACTAGCTTTGGGCCAAGCCACGCGTGGAATTTGGTCTCCTTCGTGGCTCTCCTTGGAAAGTCGCCGAAGAACATCTTCCCGTCCAGTTTCATATGTGCATTGGTGTTTACAGTCAAGAAGCTCTTGGTGCACCAAGAAAATACTAGAGTATCAAAGCAATACCTAGACTTCCAGATGTAAGTTTCCCTAAAAATCTAGGAACCAAATCATTAGTGCAAGCGCTTCCTTGAAGAAGCGTGAGCTATCCTGCATCCTGTCGGTAGTAGCTACTTAAGCTACTAGCTTACCTAGCTAACCTACCTCCTACTACCCCCCCCTTAAAACAAACATTCCAGTGTCTTTAAATCATTAGTCATTCCTTCAGCTCCAACATGCACCGCCCAAAGAACCAGCCAACCCACCTCTTCCTGCTGAGCAAGACGCGAACGACCGGGCAAGCTGGTCGGCCGAGCCGAAAAGGCCACACGAGTTCTGGTTTGGGACTTGCCAACACTGTTTTGGTCAAGAAAAAATAGACAAAAACAAAAGCATCGCTACTAGTAACAAGTGCATCGCTACTAGTAACAAGTGCATCGCTAGTAGTAGCTTCTAGCTACTAGTATTAATGGCCTCCGCCTCCAACCTAAGAGGAGAATATACAAGAATCGTCAGAATCGAATTGGGAAATAGTCAGGAAGTCCAATGATGCCATCGTACCTTTACTTCCTCAGGGATTTCGAAGGAGATTCAGGATTCAATTGTTGAAGAAGAAATCCTTGAGAGTGTCACACCTTGATTGGTGGCGACGTTGGTGATGCAGCACGCCGCTCTGCCTGAGTCCAGCAAAGAAACTAACTGCTGACGTGTCTCAAAATTGTCCTTCCTTCTTCCCAACACCTTGTCTAACAAAGAACAACCATAAACACTCTTAGTTGGTAGGTCCCAGCAGTTTGAATTGAAGACCTAAGTGGTACCTGTCCTGCCCGTGAAGTTCCGTTTTCTTTTCTTGCAGGCTTGGCCCGCAGGGTCTAGCGAAGCCCTTGCCCGCGGCGAGGGAGGGATGTTACACGCCTATCTGGATCTTGTACACAACATCCAGACATCAAATCATGACAAACCACCGACGCAACCAAACAACATGTCCCGTCTGAGGGGCCAAATTTGGCCAAAGTTGCCTGTAAAAACAAGCCAACTTTGGCCTCGTAATTAGACCCGGGCCGCACATGCGAATCTGAGCAAGAAAACACCACACCCTGGCGACCACTGTTTGCTTATAAACTTCTTCCCCTCACAAGTCATTTTTTTCACTGTGTTGGGACACTGGCATAACATTATGCTGGCGCAATATCTATATACAGTGTGTATGTATACATTCATGTGTATACACACATACTTCTCGCCAGGGGATTTCCTGCTCCTGTGCCACCCTTTGGTCAAAAACTCATGCTGTCTGCTACAGTAGTCTGCCTCGAGACCTTTGGAAAACGGCCAAATGCGGCCTTGAAACTTCCTCCTCATGGAGGTTATTCCCGCATCATGATAGTGCAGGAGTATCGACAGTGGATTGCACCAGGCGACTTCATCTGGTTCAACTGACCCGAACAAAAACATGATTCAAACATGTGATAATTTCTTTCTCCTGGCGTATTCCGGACTGTTGGAAGGTTCCAAGAGAAAGTCAAGGAACTCTTTCAACAGCTCTTAGCAAAACAGGCTGTTGGCCTCAGGCTTGAACGCTTTCCACGTTTGCCTGTCGTGCTGGAGGCATACAAGTGTTCCGACTTGATGTTTATATACTCCTTTTCTTTACTTGCATGTCATATTTACTTAGTCAATTTCTTCTCTCTCATGAATCAAAACAAGCTCAATCAAGCACACATGTTAAAGCAAAACACTACTTACTTGGATAAACACAACGATGGCTATACCCAAACTAGGTGTCAGCGGTGTTATGGCCCCCCTACATTTTTGACGTTTTTGGAACCTTCTACTGATGCAACACTATTTTGTGTCACCAAACAACGGTCATGATGCTCACCGTGGGGGTTGGGAGTTGAGGGGGGTTGGGAGTCATGTTCGCTTGGATCATCTGCGTGGGTCATGTGATCGGTCTGCTTCATGAACTTCATCTTCATCTTCGTTTCCGGAACATGTGCATTTGGCGTCGGCGTAAATGCATGGTCCTGATTTGAATTTCATCATCATCGTTTCATGAGCTTTATCTTCACGCTCTTCTTCATCCCCGTTTCATGGACTGCATCTCCATCTTTGCCTCACCATCCACAAATCATGATTATGCATTTCCCTCCGTCAAATGCACCTTTTCGTGAATTGAGGCCAAATCCAGATACGCAAAAACACAACAATTCCGAGAGCTACAGTTGACACAAACTTGCAAACACACTGGCTTCTCAAGACTTGACTTGTTCTCTTCACTTCACAGCAATATCTCTACAATTTAGTTGTTATATAGTTGGTGCAGCTATTAAGCAATCCACTACGGCTTCCATGGCTTTGCCTCCTCTTTGGCAGCTTCCTGCAGATGTTCATTCCGTAGCTCAGTGCATCTCTGAACCCTGGAATCAGTGTTGTCCTTATTCCTTATACTTTTTACAATGGCAGTCTTCTTAGCGTTGTAGCAGGCACAGCCATTTTGCCTTGACCTCTCTGGTGTACTGCGACTTTGGACAATGAGGCCTCGCTAACTTTCGTCCAAGTAAGTCATCCTGTAAACCTGCAACTCTAGAAAGACTACGCAGAACAAAGACACCATGCCACGGCCAAACATGTGCACATCGGGTCATTTCTCGTTCTCCTGAGCAAAAGCTGCCGCATTCTCATCCAAGCGCGCCAAAACCGCTTCGGCGCCTCTGAGACATGCAATATCATGACATCAGTCGTGTTTCATAGAAATCTGTCGTCTTAGACCGGGCACTCTAGGACGGAACATCCCATGCTCTTAGCAATTCCTATGTTTTCTTTCTCTCGAAGCACATCATTGTTTTGTTGATTTACATCAGTGAATCCAAAAAGTTAAGTGTCCCAAACATCTAGAAGCCAAATCATTAGTGCGTGAGCTATCCTGCGTCCTAGCTAGGAGCGAACTTCTCCTAGTAGCTTACTTCTCCCGGCAGGGCCACGGGCCAAGGGCACAAAAATAAATAGACAGATTACGTCTTGCATTCTTCTACACAGATCTACGTCTTGTTGCCATCCAGATTATCTGCCACGATCTTGGCATCCACTCCACGCCTTCAGGTCTAACTGGCATACCCAGTTCATGACATCGCAGGAGGAAGTTTCGCAAGTTAAGGAAAATGGTCTTCACGTGAAAGTTGATGAAGCCCACCTTGGAGGTGCTTCTCGGTGGATGCTGACAGCTTCAGAAAGCTTCAGAACGCTTTAGAAGCATGCAAGAACGCTACTAGGGGCTCCTGGCATCGCCACTAGGAACAAGAACGCTACTAGGGGCTCCTGGCCTTACTACCAGTAGCAAGAAGCTACTAGGAGCAAAGGGCATCGCTACTAGGAGCAAGAGCGCTACTCGTGGCCTCGGCTCTGGTACACTCTCCTCCGAACCTCCAATCCCGACTCCAGCTATCCAATCCCAAATGACCAGTAGCGTCCTTGCTCCTAGTAGCGATGCCAGGAGCCCCTAGTAGCGTCCTTGCTCCTAGTAACCAAATTTATTCTTGAAACCTGGTAGTGCCATGTAGTGGAGTGTAATTTGATTCTTGCTGTCCTGTAAGCATGGACAGGTCATGCCAGTCATGCTCAACTGTTCTTTTCTGCCAAGTTTCTGAGGACTTGGGGATGCAGTTTGTTCGGCCTTAGACAAGCCCCGAGCTTCTGCTCGATTGAGTCTCAAGCGCCTTGGAATATAATGCAGATCAATAACCACTCGAAACAAACACTCAAATGCAAACAGGCAACGGTCGTGCAAGGGATTTGGCATTCCGCCGGCTGAGAGCACCTACTCTGGGAGAGACTTCTCCAGAGCACACACTGAGATCGACTCGTATTTACTGGAGCTATGTCTCACCGAACCTTGACATGCCAAAACTTTAGAAGCATACAAGAACGCTACTAGGTGCTCCTGGCATTGCTACTAGTAGCAAGAAC